TAAAAAAAAAAAAAAAAAAACCTCTATACTTTTTTATAAAGCAAAAGAAGAATGGAGACTGCCGCCAAATTTCGGAAACGGAAAGTGTTCACAGCTCGCGGGGCGCGGTTCCTCGAACTGGACCCCGGCCTCGTTTACCGGAGCCGTAGGGTTCGCGGTTAACTCAGCTCCAAGCCCCGACACCACGTTTCTTATGTGGAAACGGCTTTCTGACTCGTAAATTGTTTTCTTTGTACCAGCACTTAATTCTAATGCCTGCAGGGTGTTTTCCTGAAAGGGAAAAAACAGATAGCAGAGGATGGTTTCGATCCATCGACCTCTGGGTTATGGGCCCAGCACGCTTCCGCTGCGCCACTCTGCTAACGACGAGAAAGGAGTGCTCATGAGTTTCCTTTATAGAATTTGTCCCAAGGTTTGCTGTTTCCAGTTTGTTTGGGAAAAAATTCTGTTTTTTCTCAAGATAACTGATTCTGTTCTGTCTTAAAGGAAAGGACGATTCTGAAGCGCTTTGATCCCAACTACTTCAACAGCGGACAAACTAGCTATTTCGGCAAAAAAAAAAAAAAAACGCTCAGTCCTGTCATCCGGTAGAGGCGATTCCAACGCTTCATTGTACAGTGCAAAAGCACGATTAAGCAAAAAAAATTATAGGCAAAATATCCAACTTCTGAAATACAATGTTTTTGAAATTTCGGAAAGATTAATGAAAAGAGAAATACCGTTGCATTGGCCGGGAATCGAACCCGGGCCTCCCGCGTGGCAGGCGAGAATTCTACCACTGAACCACCAATGCCACACGAGAGTCTTCCTTTCTAGCTCCAGAAATGATTCCTTAGCCTGTCAGAGTTTCTATGTCCTTAGAGATCCCAGGGGCTTTCCGCTTTCACGGAATAGATCTCCCTTCCGTTCCCTCCCCCTCCTCCCCACACAGCGTCCTTTCAACCCTGGAAGCCGGCGCGGGGAGGCGGCCCAGCCGGGCAGCGCCTGCTGCAGGGCGCCTTGCGGGGAGGGCGGGAAAGGCGAGGCCGGGGTAGGCAGAGAGGCGGGAGGGTCCCGGGGCCAGGGGCGCGTCCCTCGGCAGAGCCGCGAGTCGGGGTCTGCAGAAACCGCCGTCCGCCCGGGGCGCGCGCGGAGGCCGCGGGGCGGCCATGAACCTCCCTCCAGGCAGAGGTAGCGCGAAGTGTCCCTGGAGGACGGTTTTCAGAAAGGAAAAGGCACAGTGACGCGCGCCCGAACGTGTGGCGTGGGCTGAGCTCGCGGAGGCACGGGCCGGATCAGGGGTGAGGCCGTCCCGCCCGCCGGGAGACCCCGCAGCCCAAGGCGTCTCCAGATCCGAAGGTCGACCGGAGGGTGCAAACGAGGCCGCACTCGGGAAGGGTGTGCTCCAAACCCGTGTGCGGCGGCCGCGCCCCGCCTCGACCCAGTCAAGGGATTCGCAGATCAGACCCGAGTCGTTCCGCTCGGCCACCAGCCACTCCGGTGTGATCGGAAGTGGGCGACACGGAAGGGCCTAGAATTCTTGAAACACACACTGCCGAGCAGCCGTCGCTTCTCCAGGGGACGGGTCTGGACCTGGGGCTGCCCCGCCCCGTGGGGAAGCCAACAAGCGGGGCCCCGTGGGAAAGCCAACAAGTGGGTGAACGCGCTCGCCGCGGTGCCAAGGGCGCCGCCGGGGCTTTACCAACGCCTAGGGGCGGGGGGGGGGGCTTAACCCAGGTCCCTGAAAGAATGCGATGGCTATGGCTCGAACGTGTGTGTACCCCGAATCCCTGTGCGGGAGCCCCACCCGCAGTGTGAGTAAGGGGGCCCTGCGGGCAGAGCCTGCGAACGCGCTAGTGCACTTAGCAGAGACGGGGGTCACTCCTTTGCCGTGCGGCCCAGCAGGCGGCGGCACCCCGAGCGCTCCCGAGCAGGGGGCCAGCCCCTGACCCGCTCTCCCTCCCGCAGGACCGTGCTGAGGCCGCCTGCTCAGCCGCCCGCGGGCTCTCTGGATGCCCCTGCGTGCACCGGGTCTGATTTGGGGCCTAGGGCGAGAGTCCCTGCTCTAGGACCTCCGGGGTTTCTGCTCCTCCTAACTCTTTCTCTCATTGGGGAGGGGCTCCTCCGACAGGGTCCCCCAGCCCCAGCCCAGGATGACAGCTGTCCCACCTGTGTGTTCTGGTCACTCCAGCAAGCCCAGGGCCTCCCCTGTAGACCCAGCCCCTCACCCACACCCCCTGCACCAGCAGGGCCTGCTCCCCACCCCACCCTACCCCCCTCCCTAACACTCCTGCCTTCAATCATGGGGCCCGCCCTACGTTCTCATCCAATCCTGGTCACACCCCAAAGGTCTCCCTCTTAGGATATGTGTGGGGAGAGAGATGGAGACAGTGAAGGGGACGTGAGAAGCCACCCCCCCAGGGAGGATGGCCACAACACAGTCCCTTCTCCATTCTCCTCCAGGGAGAGGGCACACACATACACGTGCCCAGTGTGAGTTTCAAGCCGACAGGTCCAGGACTAGAACACAGTCAGCCATGTGGGAGTCCAGTAACATAACCGTTAGTCCAGCTGCTGGCTCCTCAAACGAAAATCCTTTAAATACACTGTAAATTCCTCTTCTCTACCCTCCTCTTCCTGCCCAGCCCACTCCCTGTCCCCTGTCCCCTGTCTCCAGAAACTCCAGAATCTCTGGGCCCTGACTCAAACTCCCCCTGCAACAACTCGGTCCCATTCCCTCGGCAGATTCTGTAGCTCAGGGAATCAGCCTCCAGGTGCGCATTTGTTATCCCAGTGTCCCTCACACACTCTCCTCTTTGTCCCCTTCTGTCCTGAGTGTGGGGTGGGCCTCCCTCCTGGGCACGTAGTTGCTGAGCCTGCTAGTGCCGGGCACAGATCCTCAGGGACAGCTGCACGGGCAACCGAAGTGCAGGTCGGGGCCCAGTAGTTCCCGGGGACCAACGGGCGGCTGGCATGGCCCCTGGGGTGCTGGGTTAAAGCCTATACCGGGGAGAGTTCACACACTATGTACATACACAGCCAGCCGGGGCAGGCATGTGACAGGGCTCCGCTTACACGCACACCACTTTCCAGTTCTAAGACAGCCTAGGCCCTGAGGAAACGTCCTTGAGCCACACAGGCTGGTGCGTGGGGACATAACCTGGGCAATGTGACCCGGAGGAGGCAAGGGCGGGACAGTGGGCTGAGGTCACCCCTGTGACACCCCAGACTTCTCAGGGAGACACCCCCACCCCTCGTTTCGGGAGCAGGCGTGGAGGCCCAGGAGGGTGGTTCTGCGGGAGGGCTGTGCCAGGGCCTCGAGGGTCCAACCAGCCCCGCCAGGATTGTCTGAGCACCTCACAAATGGACTGACCCCCCAGAGGCCCAGCGGGCAATCGCCGGACTCGTCCTCTTTGAGTCGGCTGGGAGTGGGCGGAACCGGGGCGGATCGCGGGAATGTGATGTGGGGTTGTCACAGCTTCGTGGACCGCGGGCGTCCAGGGCTCTATTCCAAGCACCGAGGAGTGACAAAATAAGCAAAAACGGTCCCCGAATTCAAGTGACTTCAGTTTTAGGGGAAAAAGACACTTGAAGACACGGCTAAGGACGCGTGCTTGGATGCGACTGCAGAGACGCGGCCACGTGGGTGGTGGACGCGGAGTGGGCGGGAGCCGGGACCCCGGGGCGGGCGCGGGCTCGTCTTCCGCGGGGTGCGCGCGCCCCCTAGCGGCACCTCTGCAGCGGCAGTGCCTTCGCTTCCCGGCAGGCGTTCGTCTTTAACAGAACTAACCCACTGAGCTGAAGCCCCGAGAAGCACAATTTCGTTGCTACATCTCCTTCCTCGTGCGGTGAGACGTCTCTCCCGTTCCTTGGGAAACATTTCATAATTCAAGAATGGCCGTAGGGTTCGCGCCAATTTGTTTGTTTCACTTATCAGTCATGGAAAAATGTCTTTTTAAAAGATTAAAGTGCCATTTACACAGCGGAGAGAGCTAATGATCTATATCCATGTATTTATAGCTGTTTACGTATAAACAGCTCTGTGCTCTAAGGCGGTGCCCACTGCCCCTGCAAGCTCGCTGGGGGAGCCCGAGGTGACCTAGCCAGCCCCTGACTTGAGTTCGTGGGCACCGTTTTTGTGTCATGTGTGCTTCTTGATCTGATTAACGAGAATTCCTCCCTTTCCTGCCGCCACTGGACCTGATTTATGCGTGGGGCGCCACACCCCTGGCCCCAGGACCGCTGGCAGACAGCTGTGTGCAGAGAAGGTCTTCATTTAGGGTCAGGATCCCGCACGTGGGGAAGGACGGGCTGGCAGCCCCGGTACCTCCCGGGACTTCCAGGGCTGCGGTGTGATCCCATACTCAAGGGCTTGAAAGTCAGGCCAGCCGCACATGGGAGCCCAAGATCCTGGGAGGAGACTGGCGGAGGAGGGATTGCAGCATGGCCATCCCCCCCCCCCAGGGTGGTGGGGGGTGTGATTTCTCACTTCCCCTCTCACTGTCTCTCTCTCTCTCCCTCTCACACACACACACACACACACACACACACACACACACGCATGTGCCCCAAGGCAAAAACTTCTAAAACAAACCAAAAAGAATAAACACTGTAGTGATTTCTCATATCTGCACAAGGTTTTTTCACACCACACTTTGCCCAGTGATCAATTTGATGCATGCACTGAGGAATGGGATAATTCCTTGTATTATTTCAAATGTATACAGTTTCATAAGACAGCAATGGGGCCAGCAGCTGGCATAGTGGTTGAGACGCTGGACTCCTACATGGTTGACCATGGTTCGAGTCCCAGACCTGCACTTGAAACTCATGCCAGGCACATGTGCATGCATGCCCAGAGTCCCAAGAAGAGAAGGGATTCTGGCATGGCCGTCCTCCCAAAGGGTGATTTCTTGCTTTCTGTCTCTCTTCTCTCCAGTGAGCATATGCACCCTATACTAAAAATCTCTGGATTCTTACTATTTTTCTTAATAATAATTATTGTAATCATTTTGTGAAAGTCCAATCCTTCCAGAGTTGGTTTTGATGTTATCGTGTGCAGCAGTAACACAGCTCTCCGTGGTGGGAAGGTCCCTGGTTCGTGTCCTGATTTCTCCCGGTACCTGCCCGGCATGCACACATGTGAGCCCATGTTCCTGGCTTGCTGAAGGTAGGTCACAGCAGGAAGACCATCTTGGGGAGCTCGCTCTCTCTCGCTCTCTCGCTCTCTCTCACTCTCTCTCTCAGAATAAATAAATAATAAAATTAATTTTTTTCTTTAAGTTGACTTTGCATTTCTTCAGGGGAGGATGATAATCCTGAATGGTACTAATGGCCATTCAATGCTAGTCCCCCAAAAGACACTTCCATATGGTAACCCCTGGAACCTGTGGCTGACCCTTACACGGCCAGAGCTGCACTGAAGTTAAGAACCTCAGGTGGAGACACTCCCAACCATTGCAGATCGAAAGCCCTTGGGGTGGTTCTGATGCAGGATGAGTTTCGAGATTCGCAGTGTCATGGCAGAATTACACTGAGGCAAAACCATGTGTTACAACAAAGTTTTAAAAATAAGCATTCTTGGGGCCAGCAGGTGGCGTCATAGTTAAGGAACTGGACTCATGGCTGGCTGCATTGACGTTGGCTTGAAACTCACTCTGGGCACGTGTGCATGCATGTCCAAAATCCCAGGAGGAGAAAGGAGGAGAGGGGATTACAGTGTGGCCATCCCCCTGGGAGGTGATCTCTCTCTCTCTCTCTCTCTCTCTCTCTCTCTCTCTCTCGTGCGCGCGGGCGCAAACACATATGCCCTATGGCAAAAACTTAAAATAAAAAGAAAAAAGAAGAACATTCTTAGTCTATTACTGTATTTCTTGGTTATTGCACTTTTTGTTTTTATGATATATTTGGTAGAAGGAAAAAAATGGAAAAGGGGATAGTGAAAAAGCAGTTAAAATAATTACAGTATTTGATGATAAAATGTGTGATAATATGTTTGATTGAGCCCATATAGTGTATTCTCGATGGGGAATTCATTTTGTATCCTGCAATCATACACAGTAAATGAATGTAAGATAAATAAAAACATTTTTTACATCCATGACAAAAACAAATGCATTCTACAGGGCTAACCTAGAGCAAATAAATAATTTTTTCATGTTTAATGAAAAAAAAAATGCATACCTTGACAGGTATGCATGCTTTGATTGGTTAGTTCCCTAATGTGACCTTGTATGGCTTTTACAGTAAAATTGAAAGAATGAAAACTAAACTAAGATGACAGTGCAGCATGTCAGAGAACCAAGCAGATAACCCACTAATGGTGTCGCCATCTCACTGCCCTGGACAGTCCTGGAGGCAGTCTGGAGGCAGTGCAGGTTACAGCCTGGGCTACCTTAGGGGGAGGACACGGAGTTCACAGGCTCCTTCTTACACTTGAAAAGCGCATTAGACGATGTGCTTTTTTATGACTTAAGCTCTAAGTGCTTTAAAGATTAAAACAGACGGCAAGTATAAACAGTAGAAGAATCGTCCAAAGAAGTCGGAAATCACTCTTTGATTCAGCTCTGAGATGCACCGGCAATTTTATTTGATTGTCGCAATAGAAAAGGACACTTCCCTTTAGGAGATGTGGAAAACAGGAACGAGAGAATTGAAGAGTTGAGTAAAGCTGTGGAAGGAAACCACTGTGGGCTTTGTGTTGTGTTGACATGGGGATAGCGTTAGGACCGAAGCCTTAGTCTTCTAGTTAGAACGAAGAAGAGGGAACTACAGATGGTTCCATAGGGCTCTGTCAGATCTACGACTATTAGGGGGAAACTGTGTGTGGGTGTGGGTGTGGGGTGGGTGGGGGTGGGGGTGTGTGTAGGGTGTGTGTGTGCGCATGGGTGTGGGGATGGGTGTGTGTGGAGGGTGTGTGTGTGCATGGGTGTATGGGGTGTGTATGTGTGCATATGTGTGTGAGGGTGTGTGGAGGGTGTGTGTGTGTGTGCATGGGTGGGGGGTGAGTGCGAGTGTGTATGTGTGTGTATGTGGGGGTGTGTGTAGAGGGTGTGTGTGCATGAGTGTGGAGGGTGGGTGTGAGTGTGTGTGGAGGGTGTGTGTGCATGAGTGTGGGGGGTGTGGGGGTGTGTATGAGTGTGTGGGTGTGTGTGGGTGTGTGCCGCATAACCATATGTGTATGCAGTGGTTTTGTTTCTGAGGAAAGAAATCTTAGGGTTTTATTCTAGTTTCAGAGAAGTCTCCGACCCCCAGGTGACAGACCCCTGGTACAAAGCTTCAGATGGAAGGTTCTAGTTGGGCTCTCTGGGCGGCTCCTACAAAAGTGCAGTCCGGGGACTCACGCAACGTACTCGGAGTCAGCACTGGTTCTTTATTCGAAGACCGTCACGGCAGGTCTTTCTGGGTGTGTGTTTTCCTTTTCAAGAGAGAGTTTTGCTATAGGGCACGTGCACAAGACAGACAGAGGGACAGGAAGTGAGAAATCACCCCCAGAGGGATGGCCACCCCGCAATCCTTTCTCCTTCATTCTCTTCTTGGGATCTTGGGCACACGCACATGTGCCCAGAGTGAGTTGTAAGCCACCAGGTCCGGGACTCGAACTGTGTTTGACTCTGTGGGAGGCCAGCGACTTAACCATTACGCCGTCCGCTGGTCCCACCACAAGAGAAGTGAAAATAAAGCAACTTGGGGGAAAAGACAGCAGGAAGCTACGTTCGCTCGGGCGCCTCGAGTCTCCGGCCAGGCCTAGCCCTGCTGCCCTCACTGGGGGGCGAAGGCCCTTCGGATCAAACCCTTCAAAGCCCCCTTCACGTCCTTGTTCCTGAGCGTGTAGATGAGGGGGTTCAGCATGGGCGCGATGACCCCATAGAAGAGGGACACCATCTTGCCGCGGTCCTTGGAGGCGGGCGAGGGTGGCTGCAGGTACATGTAGATGGCGGTGCCGTAGAAGAGCGACACCACCACCAGGTGCGAGCCGCAGGTCCCGAAGGCCTTGCGCCGCCCGCCCGAGCGCATGCGCAGCACCGCGCGGCCAATGAGGGCGTAGGACGCGAGGATGAGCCCGGTGGGGACGAGGAGGAAGAGCACGCTGATGAAGAAGAGCTCGGCCTCGTTGGCCGTGGTGTCGGCGCAGGACAGCCGGAGCAGGGCCGGGACCTCGCAGAAGAAGTGGTCCACGTGGCGGCGGCCGCACAGCGGCATGCGCACGGTCCAGCTGGACTGCAGCAGCGAGTTGCCGAAGCCGCTGAGCCAGGAGGCCGCCGCCAGCTGCAGGCAGAGCCGCCGGTGCATGACGACCGGGTAGTGCAGGGGCCGGCAGATGGCCACGCACCTGTCGAAGGACATGACGGTGAGCAGCAGGCACTCGGTGGAGCCCAGGGCCAGGAAGATGAAGAGCTGCGCCACGCAGCCGGCGTAGCTGATGAGCTTGCGCGCGCTGCGCAGGTTGGCCAGCATCTGCGGCACGGTGCTGGTGGTGTAGCCCAGGTCCAGCACCGACAGGTTGGTGAGGAAGAAGTACATGGGTGTGTGCAGCTTGGGGTCCAGGCGCGACACCAGGATGATGGCCAGATTGCCGAGGATGGTCAAAATGTAGGACACCAGGAACACCACGAAGAGGGGCAGCTCTAGCCACGGGCGGTCCGAGAAGCCCAAGAGCACGAACTCCCCGGGGCTGCTCCCATTGACCCAGCCCATGGCGACGCCGGTCCGCTTCCCTGGAACGCAGCCAGCCGTGAGTCGCGTCCGCCACCGCGCCGGTTGTCACGTCGGTTCCCTAGGTCTGTCGCGGCCGGTTCCCCAGGTCTGTCGCGGCCGGTTCCCCAGGTCTGTCACGGTCGGTTCCCCAGGTCTGTCACGGTCGGTTCCCCAGGTCTGTCACCGTGACAGACCT